CTCATGTTTCCCACTGGTACCTACCTTTTCCGGTAGGTTCATGTAATTGCGATTTCCTTAATGTGGTTGCGCTTTTAGATTTGTAGTTGCGGTTTGCACTTCAGGGCCACCGTAACAATCAGACGTGACTCAGCACTCAGACTCCAACACATGTTTTGCAGCAGCTCACAAAGGAGAAGAAAGGACAGAAGGATCCAATGAAACCACATAAAAAGATGCATGTTGGAGGATTGAAAGGCAAAAGGGAGAAGAGATACATGCAGAGGGACTGAGGGAGGGGTGGTGAGAGTGAAGGTTGTGGGGGGGGGGATTCATACCTACCCTGCCCTGCTGCTATCTAGCTCCCAGCCTCTGGACCGGCCTGTTCTGGGCTAGGCTCTGCTGTCTCACTGGGACAGGGTGACCCAGAGCCACACGCCTAAAGACAGCAAGAAGGGATGGAAGGAGGGGAGTGGAGGGGGGGGGAGTAAGAGAAGCAAAGAGCAGAGAAAGAGGAATAAGTCTGAGGGACTGAAGAGTTGTTAAAAGTTATAAGAACAGAGCAGATTGGAAGCAAAGATAAAGCTTTTAGAAGGAGAATTAATACAAGTTGTCCAATTTCTCAGAAACATTTGAAAGGCAGACAAACACAGGACTCATTCACACACTCGTTTATAAAAGCCTCTCTGGAGTTACTTTATTGATCCGGTGCTTTTTACACCTCGCCCCGCAGAGCGACGCGCCGCTTCTCTCCATTGGCGCCGTCGGTCCTCCCCTCCGTAACCTTTCCACTGAACTCACTCAGCGCTGCCGCCCGCACATATTCCTCAGGCTTTTCTTTTTCCCCTCTCCTGTTTTCGGGTTGGGGTCGTGAAAAGGCTTATGTGTGTTATTTAGGCCTGCTGACATTTTCAACAGTGTGGAAGTCTTTTTTTTTTTCAATAATAGCTTCACTGGAGGCATAAAAGTAATGTTTCATGTCTGGAAATAAGAGTAGAGAGATGCAGAAAATCCTTGGAAGGTCAGAGATTCAAATCCCATTTTTTTTAAGTTTCTTCGACTTTTTAACTTTGATTAGAGCAAAACGGGAACTATCAATCGCCCCAGGAGGAGAAGCGGGGCGCTCTGCCGCCTCCAGCGTCCCAACAGAGATGAACCTGTCTGTTTAGAAGTGGTGATGTATGGATGCTACCTGCCTGATATTAATAACAGCTTAATGATGTCTTTGACAATCCCACCAGCTAATTTAACGCTGCGTTGACCATGCACACATATGCATGCACACACACACTCCCCCCCCAGCTTATATCCACGCGGTGAACCACGTTTGATGTGCATTTTTGCACGCACTGACACAAACACGCGTTCATGAAGCGACACAGCCCCCTAATCAGCCGGAGTGATTACCTGGCCCGCCAACGCTGCAGCAAAAGCTATTTATCAATGCACATTAACACAGCGTGTAGGTTATAGAAGCATCAGAAGGTGCTTCTTAAAGGTGTACACACACTTACGGCATCCTCCTCTCCGCTGCGACTGGGGCTGCCCTCCGCCTCACCGAACGAGTCGTCTGTAGGGGGGTCTGTGGCATCCGTCGGGGGGTCGCTGACGTGAGAAGCTGAGGACTTGGACGGTGAGCTCTGCCTTGGTGCCGGTGTGGGAGCTGCAGAGAAAGATTCACGGCTTTTATTTGGCGGCAGGCAGTTGGGCGACATAAAGGAGCAGAGCACTCACGAGAGTTGGTGGACGGCGTTGTGGACGTGACCGGCGTCAGATTCATTTGGGAAATGTCAAAGTCGTCACAGTCATCCGTGTCCTGGGCGGTGCCCACCCGGCTGAAATAGGAGCTGAACGCCTCTGTGGTTCCTGCTAAACTGGGCTGGTCGCCCTTCTTAGAAGGCATGGCTGGAGGCTTCGCCAGCTGGAAATCCTGAAGGAACAGGAAACATCCGGTCAGAGGAAAAATAAACATTTTTTAAGATAGTTCAAATGTGTGAATGGGACTGATGCCTAATCAGCTTTAATGCAGTAAAAGTTAATGTTGGGATCTGGAGGTTTTGTCCACTTTCTCCACCAGAGGGCGCATGAGATCTCCTGGGGGCGTGAGCTGACTGCAACACCTGTCTTCAATCTGCTCATCAGGAGGCTCCTTCTTAAGGAGGCGGAGACGGACACCCCAGTGCCAGAGTGTTTGCCAGTAATGGTTAGCAAGCCTGAGCCAGCCAGCTTATCTGTACCCAAGATTTTGAGAACCTGCCTGATCCGGTCTTTTTCTGTCTCACAGATATTCCTGCCTGACAATCTGAAAACCTGGAGAGAAGACTCTTTCTGGAGTCCGCCTGTCTGCTCTCAGTGAAACCCTGGAGGGTTGTTTTTGCCTGGCATCTGCGTGCCCGCTCTCAGAGAAAACTGAGAGGGAACTCAGTCTGGAATCCGTCTGCCTGCACTCAGTAAGCCTCCGCCCTCAGCCTGCCGACTAGCCTCCGGACCCTCAAGGTTCCCCCCCTCTGCAGCTCCGCTCAACTTCAGAACAGGAACACCCTCGTACATCAGAAAACCTGCAGTAACTTGGATCAATACTAACCACTCTGTCCCCCTCAGTGGTGAACCCCTGAGTGACCAGTCAACCTACCAAGGACCAGTTCATTATATATTGTGCTTCATTGTAAATAAACCTTTGAAGTTTTTCTCTGCCTCTTGAGTGATCTCTGCATGTGGGTTAGGCACCTTAAACCCATCATGACAGTTAAGTTAAGCTGGGGTTTAGATGTTGGTTTTTCTGCTAAATCTGGTCGGTCCTCTTAATCTTGATTTAGTTCAAAAAATATTCCAATCAGGTTGTGTTCGGTCCATCTGATTTTGTCCCCCTTTAGTCCAATCATAGACGTTTAAACAAAGGTGTAAAGTTTTCAGTTTTCAATATCTTTTCAACAATCTGAATAGTACTACTTTTCAACCAAATGTAGACGTCGTTTGGACATAAATCACGTCATCTTTATAATGCCTTGTCAACCAGTTTTGTTCTTTATGCAACATTAGAGCAACAGGAATAAACTCGTAGTTTGGGGTAAGAACAGCTGAATGTTATCAGTCCATTTAAGGTGTATTTTAAATTATGAAGGAAAATGCAAAACAAATGCTAGAAGTTATTTCTATAGAGATATGACTTTAAATCTAAACAGGGAGTAGGGATTAGGAAAGAAGAATCAAAGGGGTGTTAATAGAATAACAAATGCAAAAACAGGTCAAAAAGAAATAAGACATAAGAGAATAATAATAAAATAGAAAATAGAAGGAAGGGAAAAAAGCAGAGAGAATCAAAGGAAGGATGGAAGCAGAGAAATGTAGCATTTAGATGGCTGACCCCTAAAGTTAAGGTCATAGATCAATAATTGTGGGTGTGAAGAGTATGGATATATGTAAGAGATAAAAGCATAATTTAGAAATAGAAAAAAATGCATTGCTCATTGATGCTGCTTGTATTATCATTGTTAATATAACACCCATGTTTAATTGATTTTAATAGAAATGTTTGTATAGTTTGGTTGTGAATGTTTTTGAGCCAGAAACAGAAAACTTTGGGATTTAGACCTTAGAACACCTTAACATCCACCTCATTTCTGGAAAATTTGCCTATCTCGATACCCAAATGGAAAAGCAAATAACTGAGGAACTGTAAGCCCAAATGACATGTGTGATACATTATTTAAAAGCTAACACCCTCTAGTTTCTGAATTTATACATGAAAATTGGGTGAGTAGAACACCCAAGCTGCATCAGTTCAAACATGACTCAAAGTTGTTGTTTTTTATTCTCGAAAATAATAGGTCTATTTTGAACAGCAGTAATAAAGACATGTTTGCTTGTTGTGGTTCTTTGTCATGCTACATTTCCACATGCCGCTATAATTGTGCTTTAGTGCTCCCCGTGTCCATAAAATGAACTAGGTGGTTGAATTGTGGAGAATCTAATATGGAAGTAAATCTGTGTCGCTGGGATTTAAATTAAAAATGCCACTGAAATTTAAATGTTGTATGTTTGTTCTTACTGTTTCAGTGTTAAAATATATTCAGAACACATTTTTGACGTAAAAAAAAAAATTCATTGTCATTATTTCTACAGAGCTGAAAT